GGGGCAGGACATGGTGTTCACCGTGTACGGCGACCACTGGCGCAAGATGCGGCGGATCATGACCGTGCCCTTCTTCACCAACAAGGTGGTACAGCAGAACCGGCAGGGGTGGGAGGAGGAGGCGCAACAGGTGGTGGAGGACGTCAAGCGGGACACCCAGGCGGCCACCCAGGGGATCGTTCTACGCCGCCGGCTGCAGCTGATGATGTACAACAACATGTACCGGATCATGTTCGACTACCGGTTCCAGGGCATGGACGACCCCCTCTTCAACAAGCTCAAGGCCGCCAACGGCGAGCGCAGTCGCCTCGCCCAGAGCTTCGAGTACAACTACGGCGACTTCATCCCCATCCTGAGGCCCTTCCTCAGGGGCTACCTCAGAAAGTGTCAGGATCTCAAAGACAGCCGCCTCAAGCTCTTCAACGACCACTTCGTCGCGGAGAAGAGGTGAGGACTGACACACCCGAGCCGTATTTGCGCTCCAGAATTATTTCTCGCGTGCGTCCAGGGGCTAATTCAGAGAACTATGCATGGATCAGGAAGAAGATGGAGGAACTGGGATCCAAGATGGAGCTCAAGTGCGCCATCGATCACATCTTGGACGCGGAGAGGAGGGGAGAGATCAACTACGACAACGTTCTGTACATCGTCGAGAACATCAACGTCGCAGGTACGAGCGCTCCTGTTTTCTCCACCATTTTATTCTTCACGCATAAAAGCTCGAAGCGGTGAGTAAAGCGTCGGATCACATGATTCATTGTTCCTTCGAACGAAGCTGCGTGTCGGTCTATTCTTGCACTCTGCAAGGCAGCTTATGCATCAAAGTCATGGGCTGGCATGGGGCCATGCACGCTGTCAAAGATGACAGCTTGTGAGAAGATTTCTTCTCCAACATTGACAAAGGAGGAACAAACGACAATCCCCAAAACAAACGTCACAGGGACAAAGGAATCTGTCTATTTCTATGCTACAGTCTGCGTTGATCAAGGGGATTACGTACGTCGCACGTAAAGATGTACATTGCATGCTTGAGAGCAAAGCAAAGCGAGAAGTGAGAATCGAGTAACTTAGCTTTGGCACACGCTTAGATATAATATTCCAAAGTTATTCACTTGAGCCTGTGAAATTTCTTCGCTATCCTTTTGAAGATATTAACTCGTTTTATTAGTGATTTAGTTTTCACTGCCAGCTCTATAATTCATAGTAGGATTGATCCTCCCCAGTTAGGTTGGTCAGACTGCTGGTGGCCTGACCTATCATCACGACGGTGTCAAACGAGATCGGCTCGACGGCTTTTGGTCACCGGAAATAATAATTCACCATCACGTTTTCCTTGAAAAGCCTTATCCCGTGTGTCGGCTCACAAGAGGTTCTTTCGAGGCAGTCGGTTTAACTAAGGTTAACATGATGTCGTCGGTGCATCCATCATATCTCCAACCACAAGATTATCGTGGACTGAACTTTCGTGGAAGAAAGCAAGACTTGAGAGGACCTTAGCTTGCATCCACCACATGTGCACGATAATGATGAGATGCGATGGGAGTGAAATTTTTGTTAGGACGTATGGTAGTAATGGCTCTCATGGAATCAGATTAATTCCTATAGATAAATCTAAAATCTTTTGTGTACATCATTGTTTTCGGCTTTGAGATGAGGACTTGGATTTTGATCGTCTGTTAACGTGGATGCGTGCAGCCATCGAGACGACGTTGTGGTCCATCGAGTGGGGGGTGGCGGAGCTGGTGAACCACCCTGGGATCCAGCGCAAACTCCGGCAGGAGCTGGACGCCGTGCTCGGCCCGGGCGTGCCGATCACGGAGCCGGACATCCCGAAGCTGCCCTACCTGCAGGCGGTGATCAAGGAGACCCTCCGGCTGCGCATGGCCATCCCCCTCCTCGTCCCCCACATGAACCTCCACGACGCCAAGCTCGGCGGCTACGACATCCCCGCCGAGAGCAAGATCCTGGTCAACGCCTGGTGGCTCGCCAACAATCCCGCCAACTGGAAGAACCCGGAGGAGTTCCGGCCGGAGCGGTTCCTGGAGGAGGAAGCCAAGGTGGAGGCCAACGGCAACGACTTCCGGTACCTGCCCTTCGGCGTGGGCCGCCGGAGCTGCCCCGGCATCATCCTCGCGCTCCCCATCCTCTGCATCACCCTCGGTCGCCTGGTGCAGAACTTCGAGCTTCTGCCGCCGCCGGGGACCGACCAGGTGGACACCACCGAGAAGGGCGGCCAGTTCAGCCTCCACATACTGAAGCACTCCACCATCGTCTGCAAGCCCAGAGCGTGATCCCAACGTTCCTGGCAGGGCGTGCGGGGCCTCCGGGAGTTGGTAGACGGATGGGTTTTCTTCTTTGGTTTTGTTGATTCGGTCATGGTGTGGTGGGTGTGTGGGTGAAGTGATCTTCGAATTAGGGTGACGAGATAAGCGACGACGAGGACAGTTAAAGCATGTTCATACTTGTGATAATATTAATGGCTATCGAGAAGTATTATCACTACATGGAGGAAAAATCCACATGATTAAGAACGCCGTGTGTGTTCCTCCTTTCTTCTTTACCTTCAGCCCGCAGAAGCAATGGGTTGATATCTGTCGGTGAGCTACATGCATCGACTCGGAAATGTCTCCAGGAGCAGCAGGAGGAACATCCACCGACGTCCCACCGCCTAAACAGCACACTTGTCTGTCCGATGGGGGCTTTCGATTGGATTGGCGGAGTGTAACTTTCGGTCGTCCTTGGGTGATGGTGTTGCAATGTACTCTTTCACCAACTTGATTTGGTGAGATCCATATATGCGGACATAAATCACGGGTGAAGGATGTGAAGCACTTCACACGAAGAAGAAGAAAAGAAGACTTGCAGGTGAGCCAAACCCATCGCACACGAGTCATCCCACCCAACGTACACCGACACATATTGCGGAGTAGTCTTCCGCAGGATGCGTACCTTTGCGTGTGCTTCGGGGCATATGCATGTCAGCAAGCTAATAAACTATCTCTTTACCGGTTCCATAGAGGAGAAGCACCATTCAATAATGCGCAATCGCGTAAAGATTTCTGTTGGTAATTGTTATGATTTTATGGGAATACATCGCCTTGGATCTCTTAGATCTTGAATTGCATAGAGCTTCTGTTTTCCCGTCACGTAACAAAGATATTTATAAGAAACAAGGCGGTGGGCTGCCCGACCATAGGTTGCCCTCACCTAATTAATAGTCAGTCCGGTCGACCAACATTCCCGGCTTCCGACCAGACTAACATGCCGATGGATGGATAGATTCCAGGCAACCACTCGAAAGATGGGCTTCTATCGACCCCACACTGCCTGCCAAAATCCAGTTTATAGAACGCCACGATTAGTGTTCTTAGGCTGTCGGTGGTGGTGGCGGTGGCGGTGGTATAAATATATATTCTGTCATAGTCTGCCATTAACGCCTACCAGGTAGAGAATCGATCATAAATGAGTTCGTATGGTCGATGGAGTTGATTCTGAGTAGTTGTAACTGATACTTCTCTTTAAGTTCCCTCACTGGATATGGATGTCGAACAGCGCTGCAGATTGCGTTGGCCATTTAAATTAGAAGAGTCTCGGAGATGGCACGTTGGAACACCGCACCGCTCTCCTCCAATATTCTGAGCGGATCCAACGGTGAACCGAAGGATGGAGCCGAAGTTCACGTTGCTGAGTGCGTCAAAGACGGATTGACGAAGCGGCTTCTGCACGTAGTCACCGTGGAACCATACGTTACTGTTTATAGACACGCTTGGGTCAATGGAAGACTTGGTGGACGTGGAATACTGTGGCTGTGGCAGCGCCATGTGGGAAGAGGATGATGGGCAGCATCAGGTACGACACCATGGCAACGCATCAGGTACGCTGTAACCGAGATTATGGATCCAGCAAGCAGCAACAGCAGAGGCGGACAGTGGATTGCCAACTCCGATGACATCGCATCTACTCCGATAGGATGCGTGGTTTTCTTGGTGTTGAACAAATGTGTCATGACTGATGAGTCAGCATGGCTTGATCCATGGGTTAATGTCGAGAGTCTTTTGTCGGCTGAGCTGGATGCCGAGATCGACCAGACCCTCACGATGAGGTGCTGATCAGCATTCTTTGGTGTGCTGATCCAGGCACTATGTATGTCGTGCTGCGTCTCTCCTTCTTCGGAGTGGTTGGCAGCTCGTCTTCGTGAGATGATCGTGTTTTCCTACAAAAATGACCCTCGTCGGGATCATCCGACAAGGCCTCTCCGACGAGCAAGTCAGTGGAGTGATCAATTGATCCCCCCCCCCTTTTCCTGGATCAAGTCGGGGGTATTTATACCTACATGCGGGAATTGGTCGGGCCCTGGTCCGGCATGGTCGTTGACTCTAGGGGCGGAATAACCTCTCTAACAAGATGACGTCTTCGAGGGTGCTTGAGCGACATTAGACGGTATTGCCCTAACGACATACGACACTACCCCCAGCCCTTGGGGTGGTCAGGCCGCACTGTCGCACCGTTGGAGCTTGACGTGGCATGCACCCCATTGTTCTGGAGGCGTATGGTATTGTGTCGGTCTGCAGCGTTTATCGGTGGTTCACATAGGGCCAAAATACGCCTTATCACTTTCTCCAACCCCGCCCCCCCCCCACTCTCCTTCGAGGCATGCCAACAAATCGCTGACGGTCTAGGAGGCATGCCTGGGTTTGAGGGATATGACAACATTGGGCTTTTTGTGGGAAGAACGAATTGAATTGTCGGGGGTAATTTAGGGGGGCGATGTCCAGTGATCCGGGCAGGACTGACCCTACCAGTCGAACGGTAGAAGCCTATCAAGGCAAAACTGAAGCGTCGAAACCGGCAAGGTGAGACCTACGCGACAAGGCTGGATTGACTCGTCGGGGGGCGTTTTAGAGGGGCGGTGCCCCGTGCTTCGAGCAAGATTGACTCTGCCGATCGAACGATAGGGGCCTGTCGAGGCGAAATCGACGTGTCGTAGGTTGGATAATGGGTTTGGCACGGCCCGGAGTTACAGTGGCCGAGGTGTGTGGCTCGGGCGTTGGATGGCCGACGCGCGTGACTCGGATGTTGGATTTGGTCGAGATGTAACTCGAGCGTTGGATGATCGATGTGCGTGGCTCGGACGCTGGATTTGGCCGAGATGTGACTCGGGCGTTGGATGGTTGAGGTGCATGGCTCGGACGCTGGATTTTGGTCGAGATGCGACTCGAGCGTTGGATGGCCGAGGTGCGTGGCTCGAATGCTTGATTTGGCTGAGATGCGACTCAGGCGTTGGATGGCCGAGATGCGTGGCTTGGACGCTAAATTTGGCTGAGGTGCGTGGCTCAGGCGTTGGATGACCGACATGCATGGCTTGGATGCTGGATTTAGCCGAGATGCGACTTGGGTGTTGGATGGCTGAGGTGCATGGCTCGGATATTGGATTTGGCTAAGATGCGACTCAGGCATTGGATGGCCGAGGTGCATGGCTCGGACGCTAGATTTATCCAAGATACGACTCGAGTGGACTCTGGGGGCGGAGCAACCTCTCTGATGAGGTGGCGTCTTCGGGGGTGCTTGAGTGACGTCAGAAGGCACTGCCCTAACAACAGATGACACCACCCCCAACCCTTGGGGTGGTCAGGCCGTACAATCGCACAGTTGGAGCTTGACGTGGCATGTACCCCGTGGTTCTGGAGGCGTACGGTATTGCATTGATCTGCAGCGTTTGTCGGTGGTTCAGCCAAAATACACCTTGTCAGGTGGACTCATCTCTCTCATGATATGATGATCGTATAACCGAGGCCTGATCATGGAACCGAATCGGCCTCGGGCGGGGTTTGTGTATGGGCTCGTGTGAGACGTCAAAATGAGTCGGAAAAGGCCATCTATCGTAGACATCTCAAGCGTGTTCTTAAATGTGATTCCGTCCGCCTAAGCCCAACTCTAGAGGAAATGTTATTAATTCACATAATGGATTTTTGTAACTCATTCCACCTATCTTTCGTTTTCTGCTAGTTAGTTTCGTAGAAAATATTGATCTTTTTCGAATCAGACTTTGATATCACACTTTACCAAAATCTAGAAAAAAGAGAAAGAAAATAATAATAATAAAATAAAGAGTACATCGATTAAGAGGGAAAGAAATAATAGTAAATCTAGAAAGAAAATAGGAAGATGATAGATATTAGAGTAATTATTTATAATCAACTTATTCCTATCTTCAAAAATAAAAAAATATCATAAGGACTGTAAAATTTAGTATAAAATGATTTTGTTGAGTATGGTCTTTAGTAATATTAGAATCTTGTGGATCATATTCAATAAAATTATTTTCTATCAAATTTTATAATCCTTAAATAGAATTCACATTTTAATGATTCAAAATTAATAATTTTTATTTCTGAAGATAAAGAAAAGCTTATTAGAAACACTTACTCCAATACATACCATTTTCTTATTTTTTTTAAGATCTACTAATCTTTTTTATTTTTTTAAAAAATATTTATTAGCTTTTTAACGTACTCCGGAAACAATATAATAGAAGAAACAATGATAATTTTTTATCAGTGGATTCAATAAAAACACAACAAAAGATAAAATATATATTTTTAAATAATAAAAAATCGATCATGTCCCATTGAATATTTTCATCCTCATCTATTTATCTTAATCTAAGTTTGTGTTATTTTATCTAATTCTAATTATTTAAATTAATTTTATAAAAAAATAAATAAAGAAAAAACCTTTGGTCGAGCATTATTCGTGGTGCAATACAGCTTTTACGTACGAAGCACGACAGCGCCACGAGAACCTCGACTGCTCAACTGATATCAGACGTCCGTTGGTCCATGCGGCGGAGTGGAGAGGAAGAAGAAAAAGGAGGTATGGATGTGATTGCCCTCCAGCTTCTCCCGTTACTGGGAGGCACATGTCGCGCACTACCCACAGAGCAACGGTGGTGGTGGTGGTGGTGGTGGTGATGGCTAAAGGTGACTGGTAAAGGAGCTTCTGCTGCAATAGCCATCCATCAACGTGGGACAAAAGGTGATAAGACACCATTGCTCGTGTGTGGGAGGAGCCCCAAACAAAGTTGATAAGACGACCTTACCTTCGTGATCTGTACCATCGCTCATGTGCCGTCGAAGGCCAAGTGCGATCCGATGCTACGTTATATGTCTTCGTATTCTCTTTGTCAGAAAGCAACAAACCAATAAAGAAGATGTCGAGAGGTGAAGAGACTTCTCAAATTAACCTGCAGCCATAGCATCTTCTTCTTCTTCCTCCTTACGGGAAAGCTAAAAATATCATGCATGCACCTAAAAGACGGGACATTTGGAGATTCACATAAGCTGAATTAGCTGACGCTAAGATGAACATGCACGGTACGTGCAATATGGAGTAGACTGTGGCCTACAGTATGTCCACGGTGCAGGCAACGCAATCACAGTAGCCACACGAACATTGGCTTGATGTGTGTGATCTTCTATCGGCTCTCCATTGGAAACGCGACGAACTCCTCGTCGAAGAGACCGAGAGAACAGGACCCTTCCAATTATTATGTCTCGCTTCTTTATTCTGCCTGAGATGTAACCCACCATGTCTTGTCTTTCGATTCTCGGAGAGACTGTGCTACCTACTTGCTAAGACCTAGACGGCTGGTGCATAGGTCGATCGATCGAGTCGGCCACCGAGCAAATCCGATCGAGCCTCGGTGACACTTCTGATCGCCAAAGATTGAAACCCACAAAGATATTGAACGGCCAATTAACTCCATTCAACATATCCTCATCTAAGCATGGCTGTGCTTTTTTTTTTGCTTTGCTGCTTTCGTCTTTAATTTCTTTGGATGTATCGCATTTCACACGTTTGGAATGATTAGAGGATCCGAGCAGAAGGCTAAAGAAGATGCTAAAGCGATAGCAGCCCGTCCACCCATCTTGGGATGAACCAAAGTGCTGACACAAGTAGGTACAATTAGAGATCTTCCCATAAATAAAAAGAAGAAGAAGAAGGAAATATACTATTTTGCGTTATTCCGTGAATGGATGGATGCGCAAAGGGCACGGATGCATGGATGCTTGCTTGTCCACGTCTTGACCATAGATTCCAGTGGCTAAATGGTCCCCATCTTTTACCTTAGATTCGCCCGACATAGGCTGCACTTGCGGAAATCTCGGTGTCAATCACCCTCCAAAACACGTGCGAGCACCAGCTTCCTTGCAACTTCTTAATACCGTAGTTGTCATCGTGCTTTCCGTGACGATCATCGTTTACGTGCCTTGTTGCATGACATTTCGGTCTTGGGAGCTGTGAAGAAATCACATTGATTTATATTACTGTTATGATGTCATGTTTGCATTTTTAGGATGCCACTTGAAATCGCATATTTAAATTCTGAAACCATCATCTCATCACAGAGTTATCACCCAAGTGTCTATTACTTGGTCGGGTTTAGTTAAGGCTTGAAGTAGTATTTTACTAGCTATAGCTAGCTAGCTCGAAAGGTGTCCTGCAAGACGCCTGCAACTGGTTGGCTCGGGTAATAAGAAAACGACATCTCGGCGGGCATGCATGCACTTGTTTCCAATTTAGAACTCGGGTTGGATGCCCAGGAGAAGAAAGAACCCTTGAATCGGCCGACGAATGTATCCATTAAGAGATGATGAAGGGACGACACCGAGTAATCAAAGCATCATCATCTGCTTGCTGCGCCCGGTCGCACTTGCCGTCCCGAGCGATGACCATTGGCTGAGATCTTAATCACGAGTCCAAAGCCATGGCGTCAGGAGTGACATCGTTTTGTATCTTCGGTGCGCCAGCTGCTCGATCGCAATTTGTTGAGACGGCTTTGGGACCTCAGAGGTCACTTTTGGGTCACCCCATTAACAAGCCACGACTCTCTCTCTCTCTCTCTCTCTCTCTCTCTCTCTCATATTGACTTCGCCTTGAAGTATTTGGCCCTCGAAGCTTATTCTCCGGTTCAGGTGGAATCTTCCTTCTTTTCACTGTCTTCTCTTTTCTTTGCTTTTAGAGATGTTTTAAGGGCTCTCGTGGAAAGCCAATACATCACTGTCTTCTTTACCTGCTTTGGTCCCAGTCGTACTGCTGCGGAAGAAGATGAAGAGGTTGCTTCGCCCTCTTCTTCTTTTTCCAAACTGGTGTCATTCAACTCCTCGATGCTGCCAACTCAGCTTTTCACTTTGTTACAAGTAAAATCGCCTCAGAGGCTCTGCTAATTCGATGGATGCCATACCGAATGCAAGAGCTCTTGTATCGTCGACTACAAGGTAAAAGCAATAGATCGAACATCTGTCGGAAGAGACAAAACAACGAAAGTATATGTAGTCGAATCATTCACTCAGCTCTGACATGAACATGACCTCAGATTGCCATCTTCTTCTGCGGAGGCTTGATTCCGGCCAGGTGTCGGAGTTGGACACGAATCCGAGATCTAATCTCTCGCACTCACACGGCAGCATCCCGTAACGATCTGCTGCCCGTTGAATTCCTGGCGTCTTGGAATTGACCATTAAATCTGGTCGCATAGATTGCAAGAGCATCAGCTTTAAGCTGCCGCCGTGTCCGCAGTACCTGTCGGGGGATAGATAGCGTACGCGAAATGGTCCCTATGCGACAAAAACAGTATCAGCGTGTCACACAGTTGAAAGATTTGATAGCCACGCCTGCGTTATCGACTTAACCCACATCAGCGTGTCCACAGCATTTCATTAATAACATCGATAGCATCATCGAATATTCTATTTTAGTGGGTTCCAGGAATGTGGCAGCATTTTACCATACCCTCGAATGAAAAAGACATGTCCCGATTACTCAGATGACCGCCCAACCCAAGAACACGCATGGCTTCCTCTCGAACACCCAAGTTCGTGTTTCTTGTGTATGTGCTGATCAACTGAGATCTTGACATGAAATCAAGCTCCGGTTGATACTGCTCCTTGCCAGCACAACTGGGCGGCTACAGTACCGCTTCTGCCAATGGTGGAATCCCACAACTTTTTCCTTTTTTTTGTGAGGGGGAGGGGGTAAATAGAGATAAATCATCCAAGCAAAGGCAGACGTTCTGTCCACTCGGTGGAGTTGAATTGTCGTACCATTTTTGACCCTCCAGACGAAGCACTCCCCCACATCTCTCTCTCTCTCTCTTCCATTTTGCTCTATAAATTCCGCTCTTCTCGTAAGCTGCAATTCCCTTTTCTCCTTCTCCCCTCTTCACTCGCTTAGGTTTCTTGAGGTTCTGCTGCTCTGCTCTTGATTAGTCTTCTTCCCCTGTGTGCTCTTTTGATCATAATTTCTTTGGGTTCTCGATCCAAAATCGAAAAACTCTTCCTTCTAGCTTCTGTTTAACTTCATTCTTGGAGAAAGATTTGTCTTCGGGAATTCCTTTCGCAAGTTTATTCCCTGTTCTGGGCAATCCATCTCCATACACACTCTATCTGACCAAATCCAAGAAACCAGCATCCGAAATTTGCCGCTAAAGCTAGGGAGGTTTACTCGTAACTACGTACCGATATCTGAGCTTCGTTCCATTCACATGCAGTGTCTGTATCTCTTGATGTTTCTCGTTGCTGCCGCTTATCCCAAGTGAAATTAATTCTCCTGCGCGAGTTTATGATACACTCCATTTTTCAGCGCATGACAAACCTCGCTCAGTCCTTCTCTGTGGCCTTTCTTTACTGGTTCTATGTGTTTCATGAGCTCGTCGCGAAGAACTGAGACCCCGTCCCTCTTCTCATAAATAATTAATCTCCTCCTCTTTCTTGCTTCTCAGAAACATAACTCAGCTGTCGCTCCACCAGAACGCAGTGTTTCCCGGAGCACAACTTGTCAAGGCAACTAAATATTCAGATATCTTCTTGTTTCACGATTTTTCTGATGGCTTCTCCTAGTGGCACTTCTTCCGGATCCAGCCAGCTCCTTACCTCCGGTTCCGAAGAAGACCTGCAAGCCGTGATGGACCAGAAGAAGCGGAAACGAATGATATCGAACCGGGAATCGGCGAGGCGGTCGAGGATGCGCAAGCAGAAGCAGTTAGCCGATCTCACGGCAGAGGTGATGCGGCTGAGGAGGGAGAACGACCAGGCCGTCGTGGCCTTGAACCTCACCACGCAGAGCTACTCCGTCGTGGAGGCCGAGAATTCCGTGCTGAGGGCTCAGGCGATGGAGCTCACCTACAGGCTGCAGTCTCTCAATGAGATCGTCGACAACCTGAATGAAAACAGCATCAGCCCATGGAACTTCTTGTGTATGAATCGGCCTATCATGGCGTCCGCAGAGAACATGCTCTACTACTGATTGATCCATGAGCGGCAGCCATAGATTCCGTAGCTAATAATGGTGCCTGCTCCTCCTTGTTTGGCATGCATCTCCCGTTTGCGTACTCTTCCGGCGTGTTATTCTCGTGTTTGGGGTGAATCGCACCCAAGATATTTTATCATTTGGTCTTATGGGGACCCACCCCATTATGTACGAATATTAGTCTTAAGACCACGAACCTTGCTTGTTATCGTGGAAGGTTTTTCCCACCAGCTTCTTCTCTTCTATTTGTTTAGCAATGACCGTGTACGAACCTCCCTCTCTCTCTCTC